GTCTTTGTTTGTGTGGTTCACTCCGAATCAGCTGTAATTAACTCCAGAGTGTTTCCAGATTGCCAGCAAAGAAAAATTACAGCTTTTCTGTTTTAAATTGTAAAGCTCACAAACATTAACTATGCACAGTGCATGCACTTTGATATATTTCTATCCTGAAAAGGGGGGGGGAGCTTATGTGACTCCCCCAACCCCCTCTAAAAATGTGCTTTTGTGAAGTTATTTGACTTAGTGACGATTGGAACATAATGGAGACTTGATCCTTGGGCTTGAAATCTTTTTCTTCATATTTTCAATCCTTGGACATCCTTGGAGTTGTTTTTCTTCGTGCGAAGGTTTCTCATGCTGCAGTGGGAAAGAAGTTACGCACTCGTGGATGAAATACTGGACGTATACTAAACTGAGCAAATCGCAGAGAAAGCTCGCTACAGGAAACCACCAGCCCCAGCTTTAAAGACCGAGATCAAAGCTGGGTCCTGACGTAACTTTACCTGTGTTTTGATATATCAAAAGGGAGGCTGTGGGAACGGGCCTTCCTCCCGTGGTCAGCATGCCACACCCTTTGAAAAGCTTCTGTACAGAAGTTTATAATTATGAATTCCAACATGGGCAGAAATGAGGTAGCGGTGTGAGCTAATACCGCCTAGCACATAAAAGATCTGTCAGCAACTGATGCAAAAAAAAAAAAAAAAAAAAAGGTCCAGCCCAAAATCTTTTTTTTTCCTTCCCTCTGAATTTAACAATAAGGAATTTAAGCCTCAGTGTGGCTTTAGCGACCAAAGAAAAGAAGCTCTTGGTGTCTGCATAATACCACTTTGATGGATTTTTTTTCATCAGTTCTCTGTACATGGCAACAAATAAACAAGTATAATTATACTTGCGAAGGCTTTTCAGTGCTTTGTCAGGATTAGATATATGTGCCGTTTTCACACTGCACCTCCCTTTTGTCTTTGCCTAACTCACTATGACATATTGATAGAGGATTTGGACTGGGGAAAAGGCCCCAGCAGAGACAGTGATGACCTTTTGGAAACTTGATATAATTCAAGGATTTTTATTTATTTTTCTTTTTATTTCTTTCTTTCTTTTCTTTTTTTTTTTTTTTTTTTAGAACTTGTTACCAAATTCTCTTCTACATGGACAGCTTTTAACCCATTTCAAAGGGAGTCCATGAAGACTCCGAGTGCTAGGAGAGGGCTCACGAGCAGATGAGAATAAAAACAATAGGCGGAGGGGCCCTTGTCTCTCTTCCCAGCACTTTGCAGAGTGGCTAACTAGCATTCCTTTCCCATTATTCAGGCCTCCTCACCAGATCACGTTCTTTTTCATCATTTCACAAACACTGTCTCCCTGGACCGGAGAGGAAGGCTGGGACAATCTCAGTTAAAAAGCAGAGGTAACACTGGCCTCTCCAATTTGGGGTTCCAATAGGAACGCTGCTTCCTGAGTGCAGGGGAATTCTCCTATTGTTCAACAAGCACCCCTTTCATTAGCCAGCTCCTGGTAGGTGGGTTCGGTCATTTGGCAGAGCAGTGTTGAGGCCGCAGGACGAAAGCAAGGCAGAACAAGCTGTAGAAGTTCTTTCCTGCATATTGTCCATTAGTTCCAAAAAGGGGATTTACATGATCAAAGTCACCGATCTTGTGAATTACTGAGAATACCCCAAAAATGTGTACACATATTCTAAGCAGACCAGCGGGTACGTATTGTTCTGAATCTAGCATTGAAATTGTATTGGGTTTTTTTTGGGGGGAGGAGGGATTTCTTGAAGACTTCGGTGATTTTTAAAGATAGAATGTTTGGCAATAGAGAATAGAAATTGGTGGAGACCAAATAGAGACCAGCTTAAATGGTGAAGCAACCTTTATAGTGAGTTTACTTGTTACGCAGTCATTTTGGAATGAATTCTGTGGTTTAAGTTAAATGGCTGTCTTTGTGGTCTTTTTACTGGGACTTATAAAAGTTTAGTGTAAATTTCCTATATGGGTCACACTGATAAAAGAAAGGTCTTCTCTAACATTGATGACAGTGAAATCACTGGGCATCATATTTAATATGTACAATATTGGTACATGTAGATGTAACTAATGTTTTAACTGCACAAACTAAAGTGATTCCATCAAAATATACAGGTAAACATTGCCATGGTCATAGTCAATAGCTATGAATTTAAAAATCAGGTAATATATTACTTACCATCAATTCAGATAGGTTTGTCATTGTTGCTTTTGGAATGAAATGTAAGTTTGATTGTATAGAAGACAGGATTTGACTTAGCTTCTGATTGATATGTACCTTATTGAGAAGAAATTGATAGGCAATTTGGTGTAAAATGATGTGGGAATTTTGTAACAAAATCAATCCTACCATTTTGCTTTGACCTGTGATGGATTCTGTAGGGTAGTTTTCATAATTTTTTTTCACATGGCAACAATGTTGTCCCATTTTTGGAAGTTACTTCCGGTAAAATAAATAGGTTCTGATTCATATAGAGCAGTACTGAGACGCTACATTGCAGAGTCCATTCGGCATCTGGCCAAGATTATTAACTGCACGTCACAGACACCTATTCCAGGTGTCTTCATCATGCCTGTCATAATTCCAGCAAGTGCTCTTGTGGGCTGAGAGCTGTTGTAGGGTTATAAGCAAAGTAACTTAAATAATAATAAAAGCTCAGAAACTCCTTCACAAGCTATAAAGTGTTTGGGAGCTTTTCTTACTTTTGTGATTAAGGTGAATTTCCTTCCACGTAGCAGCCTAAACTATCTTTCATATGAAAGAATAAACAACAATAACCCTGGGCCCTTTACATGCTAACCCAGGATCACTAATGGAGTGTGATCCACCACGGTGCTCCCACTCCAGATCTTAGCCCCTTCCTGCCTTCCTCATCTCCTCCAGTCTAGCAGGGGGTTATGGTTTAGGCATTTTGGCTGCCTTTGGTGTGTAAATACATTGTTTGTGCCGATTTGGTGAATGCAAAGGTAAACACTAACGTTTCTGGACTAATTAGAAAATTATTAGGTTTTCATGCTTATGGTTATCAGATTATTTCAGAGGGTTTTAAAAGCTGCAGGCATGCCATGAAGATAATTAACCTGCAGCTCATCGATGATTAAAATTACACACTAAGCTTTATGATGTTTGATTGGTGAGCAATTAGAATGTCATTTTAACCATGGCAGATACCAAAACGAATTTTGATTTCATTTCCAATCTCTGCAGATCTTTTGATGTATTCTACACTGATCACTTCCTCTCTGATTTAGCTGACAAGATTAAATTTGATTACAGTCAAGAGAGTATTAAGAAGTGATTCTTCATACTTAATATGCCAGTGACCTTCAATAAGGTCTTTCTTCCAGAAGAACTTTTCAAAAGGAATTTCTAAAATGCTTAGTAATATTGGTGAGCCCAGAGTTTTGTTTTCACGGCCTTCTGCCACTGTGAAGTCTGCAATAAATGCAGGGGCATCCAGGGTGAGACATTGCATGTCTATCCTACCCAATATGACAGGTAATGGAATATAGCAACGTCAAGATTTCTTATATCAAAAATTATCAGCGACCTTGAAAGTGTTGATACTTTTACATTAAGGGGCTAGTTGCCTTGAAGTTATGAGTCCCTCAGATTGTAAGATTTGAGAGAAAATTGCTTAGCTGCTTCATAAAATCGAGACCATGTCTGTGTCCTAGGCTGAAAATAAATACAAAAGTTTCAGCCCACTCAATGGTGTGTACAGTGCCATCATCCTGCAAACCCAGAGAGCTGCAGGACTCAGAAGCTTAAACTGTAATTGAGTTGCTATTACAGTAGCTGAGGTTTGTGGGCACACACACACAGGTGGGCACATACATACACGTATGTGGGCACACATGCACACACACGCATACACACTCACACACAGAAGGGCATGCATTGCTACCAATACATACTCAATTTTCCCCTGCTACCTGACCCTGCTGCTGGAACCTGAGATGGCTTTACGGAGGGTGCATCTTGCTCTCAACAAAGGGAGTTTATGGTCTAAGATGCCTGGCTGCAAAAAAAAAAAAAAAAAAAAAAAAAAACACTGAAAAATTAAATCTAAAAAAATGATGGAAGGATTTTCATCAGTCATGCTTGCGTATGATTTGTTAAGCCAGGGGAGATGCTGATTGAGGCAATAGTTGAGAGATGGGCAACTCACCAGGATTGATAACATCAAAATGGTATTTGAAATGGTGTTCATTACGTATTGCAGTGGGAAAAAAAAAAAAAAAAGGAGTGAATGTGATCGTCCCCTAGGATGATAGGCCTGGCTGCAGTAAATATTAATTTCTGTTCTGCTGCCCATTGAGGTGACTGAAGTGTGGGGAAGAATTGTGATTGGTGCTTAATCAGGGCCAGCCAGATACCTGCTGAGAGCTTTTGCACAGGGAAGATTTGTAGTAAGCTGATTTACTGGCAAAATGAAAGCCAGAGCAGAGTGTGGTCGGTGCCGCCTAGGACTGTAATATTTCTCATTTTAAGGTTCCTTTATGGTTGGTCTCCCTTCCCTACTCATCCCCCCTGAGAAAGTAAAAGGTAAATATTAAAAAATTACAAGTTATTTGCATTGTTCTTTTTATTCCTGCCTTCGTAGGTGAAAGCCATTTCCGTGTCTGTCACGGACAAGGGGCTTTTAAAGCCTTTACGTCGATTATAGACATTTTCAGGAAAGGGGAATGAAAAAAGTACGGATCACTGATATGAATTTCAGATTTATGATGAATGCCCATGGCGACTTCAGAAACACCTAGGGTGTGGAGGCCCGGCTGTGATAGCTCTCCGCATGATTTTGCTCCATTTACACAAAGTCTGTGTGTGATAGATAGGTGCGCTGGTTTTAGCGACCCCCCCCCCCCCCCTCACCTTCGCAGATAGTCAAGTTTACAGCTGCCGTAAATTAGTGATGGGCTATTAGTGAGCGGTGTCATTATTTAATAAAAATGCCTTCTCTCACCTTATTTTTTACCCAGGTCCCTGACAGGCTGGATGAAATGAGATCCCCATGTAGCGATTGCCATGGAAACCTGTGACTCCCCTCCTATCTCAAGGCAGGAAAATGGGCAGAGCACGTCAAAGCTGTGCGCAGCGACACAACTGGATAATGAGGTGCCAGAGACAGGGGCAGGCATGGAGCCCGACAGGGAAAGCAGCTCCGCCGATGGCAACCTGAGCGCCCCGGAGCCGCGCGCCCAGGACGGCTCGCTGGGCCTGGGCCTGGGCCTGGGCGGCGAGCATGCGGCCGCGCAGGTGGCCGCGGCCAAGGAGATCCCCTGCCACGAATGTGCCGCCTCCTTCCCCAGTTTACAGAAGTACATGGAGCACCACTGCCCCAACGCCCGCCTGCCCGTCCTGCGGGACGACAACGAGAGCGAGGCCAGCGAGCTGGAGGACAGCGACGTGGAGAACCTCACGGGGGAGATCGTTTACCAGCCCGACGGCTCGGCCTACATCATCGAGGACTCCAAAGAGCGCGGGCCGGCCGCCCCGCCGGGGGCCCCGGGCCAGCTCTTCTCGGCGGCCCGGCTGCTGGACTCGCTGGCCGCGGCCGGGGACCAGGGCGAGCCGGCCGCCGCCGCCGCCCCGCTGCCCTTCTACCCGCAGATCATCAACACGTTCCATATCGCTTCATCCCTCGGGAAACCATTGACAGCCGACCCGGCTTTCCCAAATACCTCAGCGCTCGCAGGCGTGGGGCCTGTGTTGCACAGCTTCCGTGTCTACGATCTCCGGCACAAGCGAGAGAAAGACTATCTCACCAGTGACGGCTCGGCCAAAAACTCCTGTGTGTCCAAAGATGTCCCCAGCAACGTGGACTTGTCCAAGTTCGATGGCTGCGTGAGCGACGGCAAGAGGAAGCCCGTGCTCATGTGCTTCCTGTGCAAGCTGTCCTTCGGCTACATCAGGTCCTTCGTCACCCACGCGGTGCACGACCACCGGATGACCCTCAACGACGAGGAGCAGAAGCTGCTCGCCAACAAGTGCGTCTCCGCCATCATACAGGGGATCGGCAAAGACAAAGAACCTCTCATCAGCTTTCTGGAACCAAAAAAATCCACTTCCGTGTATCCCCATTTTTCTACTACAAACCTCATGGGCCCCGACCCGACCTTCCGCGGCCTCTGGAGCGCCTTCCACGTGGAGAACGGCGACTCGCTGCCGGCCGGCTTCGCCTTCCTGAAAGGCGGCCCGGGCCTGGCGGCGGGTCCCGCGGAGCAGCCGCTGGGGGTCACCCCGATGCCAAAGGCGGACGTGAACCTGGGGGGGCTGTCTAGTCTCGTCGTGAACACCCCGATTACCTCTGTCTCCCTCAGCCACCCATCGTCGGAGTCCAGCAAGATGTCCGAGGGCAAAGACCCAGAGAACAACTGTGAACGGCCCCAGGGGAGCCCCGCGGGGCCCCCGGGCGGCGAGTGCCCCGTCAAACGCGAGCCCCCCGAGGCGGGCGGCGACGAGGACGAGGAGGACGCCTACTCCAACGACCTGGACGACGAGGAAGGGTTAGGCGAACTCACCGATAGCATTGGGAGCAAAGATTTCCCTCTCTTAAACCAAAGCATTTCTCCTTTATCCTCCAGCGTGCTCAAATTCATCGACAAGGGCCCCCCGTCCTCCTCCGCGCTGGGCCCCGACGACCCGGAGAAGAAGAAGCCGGCGGCTTCCGTCCGGGCCCATCCCTACGGCCTGGGTGCCAAGGACTTGGCGGAAGCAGGTGCCAGCAAAGAGGGCGCCGCGGCCGCCCACCCCGGCGACCAGGGCCGGGGCGACGAGGACAGCGCGGCGCCCCCCCACCAGCACGGCTTCGCGCCCAGCGCGCCCGGCACCCCGGGGCCCGGAGGGGACGGCTCCCCGGGCAGCGGCATCGAGTGTCCCAAGTGCGACACGGTGTTGGGGTCCTCGCGGTCTCTGGGCGGCCACATGACCATGATGCACTCCAGGAACTCCTGCAAGACCCTCAAGTGTCCCAAGTGCAACTGGCACTACAAATACCAGCAGACCCTGGAGGCCCACATGAAGGAGAAGCACCCCGAGCCCGGCGGCTCGTGCGTGTACTGTAAGACCGGCCAGCCGCACCCCCGGCTCGCCCGGGGCGAGAGCTACACGTGCGGCTACAAGCCCTTCCGCTGCGAGGTGTGTAACTACTCGACCACGACCAAAGGCAACCTCAGCATCCACATGCAGTCGGACAAGCACCTGAACAACGTGCAGAACCTGCAGAACGGCAGCGGCGAGCAGGTGTTCGGCCACGCCGCGCCCGCCCCCAACGCCAGCCTCAGCGGCTGCGGGACCCCCTCCCCGTCCAAACCCAAGCAGAAACCCACCTGGCGCTGCGAGGTGTGTGACTACGAAACCAACGTGGCGAGGAACCTCCGGATTCACATGACCAGCGAAAAGCACATGCACAACATGATGCTCTTGCAGCAGAACATGAAGCAGATCCAGCATAACCTGCACCTGGGCCTGGCCCCGGCCGAGGCCGAGCTCTATCAGTACTACCTGGCCCAGAACATCGGCCTGACCGGGATGAAGCTGGAGAACCCGGCCGACCCCCAGCTGATGCTCAGCCCCTTCCAGCTGGACCCGGCCACGGCGGCCGCCCTGGCCCCCGGACTCGGTTAGTAGTTACTGCCTTTCTCCAGTCCCGTTAGCTCCGCATCACATGCTGAGTTGGTGGGATGCACCCAGATGAAGTGGTGAGTGCAGACGCATCGGGGACATTTCTCTCTCAGCTGGTAATCAAACCACTTGGCTTCACTTCAAACCTGAATTAACTCCATAGAGGAAGCCGTTATGGGGTCCAGGGCAGCCTGAGAGGAGTTAGCAAACTTTGTCTTCATCCAGCAGCTCGATGAACAAACCCGCATGTGCCCGAGTTGCCTGCCATTATTAGCTGTAACCCTTACAAGGTTTATAGCTTTGATTTTGGCAGTTATTCCCTCAAATATCAAACTTGTGCTTCTAAAGGGTAGACCGTTATTTTTAATGAAATATTAGTGAAAACTATTTCCGTGTCTGTGATGGAAGGTAATGAAACTGCTAACAGTCATACCGTTACCTTAGCCCGGGTATTTGGCAAGAGGTTCCCGGCGCGCCTACAGTATTAGCCAGATCTCATCAGGCTTCAGACAAATTGCGAAATAGCAATTAGTGCTTATGTAAGTTTATCTAGGCTCTTCCATCGCCAGCACGTGGCTGTTTGTTATGGTATCGGTCACCGCTCTTGCCCTCGAAAATACACATTTCAGAATGACATCATGCCGGGTAGGAGTAATTAAAGCTATCTGGGGAGGGCATTTGGAAGTTGAAAGGGATGATTGTAATTGATCCCGATTCAATCCTATTACAGCTTTTTATGGGTTTAAGCTCTAGAGAAAGCACATTCCCGGTCAAGACTTTTGTTTTACAGATTCCTTTGTGTGTGCTGTGTTTTCTAGCGTCTATTTTTCCTCTTAATTTTTTTCTTCCTGTAGTAAATAATGAGCTGCCGCCTGAAATCCGGCTTGCCAGTGGTCAGCTAATGGGTGATGACCTGTCCCTCCTTACTGCAGGAGAGCTGTCACCTTATATCAGTGACCCGGCACTGAAGCTCTTCCAGTGTGCTGTGTGCAACAAATTCACCTCCGACAGCCTGGAGGCCCTGAGCGTGCATGTGAGCAGCGAGCGCGCTCTCCCTGAAGAGGAGTGGCGGGCTGTAATTGGAGATATCTACCAGTGCAAGCTCTGTAACTACAACACGCAGCTCAAAGCCAACTTCCAGCTCCACTGCAAGACCGACAAACACATGCAGAAGTACCAGCTGGTGGCTCACATTAAAGAAGGAGGCAAAACCAACGAGTGGAGGCTCAAGTGCATCGCCATTGGCAACCCCGTCCACCTGAAGTGCAACGCCTGCGACTACTACACCAACAGTGTGGATAAGTTACGCCTGCACACCACCAATCACAGGCACGAGGCGGCCCTGAAGCTCTACAAGGTAAGGCTGACATCCCTCTCCCTTGGCACAGGGGTGGGGAGGGAATTAACTGTTTCAGAGCTTGGAGCACAAGTCTGCAAGTTAAGACAAAAAAAAAAAAATAGCGGGGCAAGGGACACAGTGTCTGCTGAATGGTAATACATGTTACGTTGAAATCTAGCAACGGGAGAATTTATTTGAAAGATTGGCCATACGTCCCTGTTCTATCTATCACAGTGGCATGGATTGCTTTACTGGTTTCTCCCAAATAAAATAGCTTTTCTGAGTATTTTCATATGCAAAACAATGCTGTGTTATTGATGGATGTTTTTTTTTTTAAAAAAAAAACATAGTGTACCACTCATGGCTAAGTGTGAATGGTTACAGGGAGCTGAGGACAAAAATAGTGCTACCTCGTGTCACCTTTTGTTTGGTGATAAGGTGACTCTGTGTGCGCATTTTTGCTTTTTCTTTTAAGTGCCTAGTAGTATTGTGTAAACGCACTCTCCCTTAGCATCAGCTGAAAGTCTTCTTAACACTGTTGTTGTTTTGCATGATTTTTCCCAGCTAGTAATGTTTTTATCCCCTCAGTGGATGTGGCAGGGATACAAATGTTCATTCAAAGGCAAATAATACTTTTATCTGATGCTGATGTAATGAATACATGCAAGTGAGGAACACCATTGATTGCACAACTTGTCTTGACTTTTTGTGGAGCCTGATGACTGGTTAATTTGTTTGGGGCAGCTGGTGGACTGGTTTGGCTTGATTGTCTTGGTTCATGTAACACGTGGAACAGATTCATTTCTATGATGAATAACTGGGTAACTTATTAAGAACTTCTTTTGTCTAGAGGACATTAAAATTCAGAAAATATTGCAAACCATTTGTCATTGTAACAAGCTCTAAATATGATTACAAAATCCATTTTGCAAGTGTTATCTATTGATTTATACTAGAAATCAGGGGTAACTATACTATCAGGAGTCAACCAGTGATTGTAACATCTATGGCTTTTCTAATACTGCTTCAAACTATAAACACACGAGGAGCAGAACAGACTGTGGTCTAGAGCGCGTGCAGGAATTATTTATTTGGGTTGGCCTGGCACTGTTTGTTGAGGTTGTTTCTTGAAGTTCCAATTCTAGATTGATGAACGGAGCATAAAATCCGGAAGACGTGGTGGGAGAATTTGTAACATTGTTCCTGTGATGCTGGCGCTCCGCGGATCAATAATGAAAGCATTAGATTTGGGTTTGAGGGGAGTTCAGGCTTTGATGTAAGCTGGAAAGCTTCTAAGTTGATGGTATTGAAAATATAATCCAACGAATTAATTGTATTATAATTCATAGATTTTACAGCAATGGTTGACAACCGTTCAATTGTCAACTTTTTTTCCCCTGTTGCTACCTGACCTATTAAAACTTTTAGAATACCGAGGAGCGAAAAAAAAACAAACAAACATTAAGTTTGTATAAATAATAGATCTCAACCCTGGGAGCTAGATAGAATATTCATGAACTGGGTTTATATTCACGCAGCCCCTCTAACACTTGAAATGAACATGTTGTAAAAAGAAGACATAAATGTACAAATTTTTCTGTTTTATTAGTCTCATGTGGGAAGCTCCAGAGAGGTAGAGCGGCATGGTTTATTGTATCAGGAAAGGTGATTTAATCTAATTGTTTGGTGATTATGTAGACATGTGTGTTTTAAGTTTTTCCATTCATTCCACGGGTGTGAATTGACATCCCTCACTGTCTGCAGAGCAATTTGCTGGGTGCCAGAGCTGGTCTGGAAGCTCCTTTGAAGGGAGAGTTGGATATTGTCTTTGAATGGCTAACAACCCAAGGAGATAAACCCTTGTTTATAAAGAGGGCTTTCAAGCAGAGAGAACTTTCAGTGTCAGAATCAAAGGGTATATTTGTCCTCTTACCTTTAAAATGTTATGTCATATACAAAAATGTCCCCCAACTCTTCTTTATTTGCGTATCTCTTAAATACTCAAGTTCCCTAATACTGTAGTGTCTAAAGTGGTCAGCAACCAAACAAACACACTTTGAACAAACTTACCTTGAATTAAAAGAAGATTGAACAGAGAAATATTTGAGCTGTTGCAGTGATATGGGGCCATTGAACTATATTTTTTGCATCATCCTTCAAGGGGCATTCCTTATTTCTGGTAACTGCACAAGTCCTCCAGAATAGCAATGTGTTGAAGATGCCATTTCTAAAACGAGTTACAAAGACCAAAGACAGTGTGCATCAGATAGAGAGAGAGGCTTTTCAAGTGCAGTAATGGGGATTTCAGCAAGCTTGGTCAGCTTGTGTGAGCAAAATAGAATTGCTTCATAAGTAACATTAATTGCTTTTAAATGAGAAGCTAACAAATTGGCCAGGGCCTGGAAAAAATGATGGTTTGTAATTTGGCTAAAATATTAAAATTAGACTTAAAATAGTTTCTGAGTTAATGACTAGACAATAATCTCCTACGTAAAATTTATTTTCATTAAGAGCTTAATTTGCATCATTCTGCTTCAGGAATTAGTTAGACTTTATGGGAAGGTGACAAGTAGCAGTTATAAGACAAATGCAGAGCTGTGAGAATTCAGCTTTTCTTGTTATTGTCAACATATTGATTGACAACACTTTAAACGTGGTCATGTGTCAGTTTGATTTGAATAGGCTACCTCTTGCTGTATTACCTAAAAGAAGTGTGTGTCCTCATTCCAGTTAAAGGAGGTTAAAGGTTAAAGGTTAAGGGTGAGCATAAAAGCATCATCTGCCTAGCTGCTTAACTTTAAACTGATCAATTTAATGAAAATCTGTTTTACAGATGTTGTTTTAATGTATTTGGCAGGATTTAGGCAGCTTTAACATTAGACGTATGCTAGTAAAAATTATTTCTTTATTTGACCAGAACAACACCTTTCCTTTTATGTTTAAGGTAGAAGGCTTGTGGGTTATGGTATTTTGGCAAAGAACCCAGAGGCAGAATGTGTTGATGATCTTTCCATATGGACTCAAAAAAAAAAAAGAATACCTTCATGTCTATTGCTAACGATGGCTACAAAAACAAGCAAAGCTATATTCATTTCTCTGGCAGTATTATTTTCCTGAGAACCTTTTTTTTTTTTTTTCCAAAAAGAAGTTTTTTTTAAGAAAATCTTACTCGTTTCTTCAAGCAAAAATTTCTGAAGTGCTGTGTTGATTTCCCCCCAGAAATTTTCATGATGAAGCAAAATTGGCCTGGGAAATTAAAACAATAAAATGAAACTGCAGCTTGCTCTTCATCTTCTCTTAGAGTGTGAAAGTGTATTTAAAGTGAGGTTAGCAGTAAATGCCTGGAGAGCTACAATCAGTGTTGCAAGGTAAAAAGGGGCTGTATCTGTGGCCATATCCATTTCTGTATCTACTGCAAGAACAGTGTTTCTCAGCTAACCACTTTATTACAGCTGATCCTTTTCCTCTAATTCCATGCCTTTGCATCGCAACTCTACAAATTTTTGTCAGTTGATATTTACACAGTCAGTCTTCAATAAGTATTTGTAGGATGAACAGTGGGCTAATGAATAAAGTGGAAAATGTTTTCAAGAAACCCCTTTAAAATGCATTGCAATTTGGTCTTCCCTTTAAAAGATCCCAAACTTTTTTTTGAAAAAGTCCAATAAAAAAATATAATGAAAAACCATTTAGCAGTAGACATTCAAGGTGAGAAGGAACAAGTAAGACGTGGGTGATATTTCCGATTTCCAGTTTCGCTTATTCTTGGCTCAGAATGGCCCAGAGGTTCCTGGCCAGCTGATTGCAATCCCCACCCCCCCTACCCTCCCCCCCCCCCCCGCCCCGCCCCGCCTCCTCTGCGGGACTCCCCACACCTGCACTGCCACTGCTCTTAGGATATGATATGTATTTGTAAGTGAGGTGTTCACAGCTTTACTGGTTCAAAGTCAAAAGCTGAATTGTCCTGGCTTTTTTTCCGGCCTGCATCTGCTAGAAGTGAAGCAGAATAGTCTGTCTGAATTCCATAATGCTGTTTTCATATTTGGGTTTCCAATTGGCTGAGAGCAGTCAATGAATCTCTTGTCTCCATGGTGAGCAGAGAAACACACGTGGGGCCGGGTCCTAGGTAACTTTCAGTGTAACATTCCCCCAAGGAACATTTTTGGAGTTTTCTCATTATCCATGTTACGGATGAAAGGATCTGGGTTAAGAACTAAAATCCAGGTGTGGGGGAGGGTCACAGCAAAGACTGCAAGGAGCCACGCTGGCAAAAGTGTGTGGCAAGGAAATAAAAATGGAATAATTAACCTCACCTACCTTTTTCTTTTCTTTCCTTTTCTTCTTCTTCTTCTTTTTCTTTTTCTTTTTTTTTTTACTGGTAGGAAATAATAACCTGATGGGTTTGGAATTAACCAAGAATCACAAGGATTTTCGTTTCAATAGGCCAGAGTCCAACTTTGCAATTTAAAATCAAATACACCAGATATGTACCATTGCAATTATGGAACTGTCATTGTCCCAGTGTGATGGTAAAAGAGGTCAGGAGATTGTGTGGGATGCATTTGCATAAAAGTCATTGTGCCGGAGGAAATTGGAATGTGTGTGTGTATCTGAGAAACCAAAACAGGTTTTTCTCAAACCGATTCTGCTCATTTGTTTAGATGAAGAAAGCTGTTTTCAGAGATAAACAAAAGTTATTCTTTTCTGTTGCTAAAACGTAAACCTGAATGTGGAAAATTGTGCACTTTTTATATTAGTTTCAGATTTATGTTCCTTTCAAGGTTGAAATGCAGTGTGAAATTCAATTCCAGTTGCAGGATTTATTTAAAAAAGTAATCACAATTCAAGTTATTTTATTGTATTCTCATGTAAAAAACCAAGGCAGAGGTTGAGAAAACAGTTTCCATAATAGAACAACACATGCTTGCATAATACCGAGGACGAATAAATACACAGATCAAATACAGAGGAGCTGGTTAGCTGATAGCAACTAATAAATCACCCATGCTCTCAGCTCG